GAAATGTAACCAGTGGCTGTCCCGATAACCGGTAATGCGAACAAGAGGTGGCTGGGATGTGTACCCAGTGACACCCTATACCCGTACGCCAGGTGACTATGACGAAGGCAAGCTGGCAACATCCGTTCTCCTCGGCGCCTCCATACTCGTATGTGTCCATCATGATGCTGTACGCGGAACTGGGATTCACCTGAAAAGTAGTAGTAGTGCCTAAAATGTTGACACATGAAATGCAGTCCTGTGTCCTGTAGTGTCATTTGCCACACTACTTTAGTAGTAGCGCCTAAAACGTTTGCACCTGAAATGTAGTCCTGTGTCTAGTACCATCATCCGTCGCACTACTCTAGACCTACGTATCTCTGCTGCAGCTTCAAAAGAAGTCGCAAAAATGATTGCCTGGCTGACAGTCCGCAGTTCTGCAGACGTCGTTGCATTGTGCATGCGGACACGTTTCGTCCGGCGCATGAACCAAGTTCCCGGTTAAGGGGATGTAACATGGCTGTACAATCCAGCAAGGCTGCGAGGACATGTCCATCCTCTTAGACTTAAGCAGACCAGGGCCACTGAGATTCCATGTCGTGGCGTTCAGTATGGTCTTTCTGGAGCCATCAGTTCCATATTCGTCTGACAATCATGAGATCCCGATCAACACGAGCAGCAGTGTCGAGGAAATATATAAACCGCAGTCCAGATAGACCACAATCTTGCCGCGGTTGCATTCTGGCACGTGCTAGTAGGAGTTTCTCTCTCTTACACGAAGCATAATATGACATTTACACAAAACCAAAGCTCAGATGCTATTTCTAAATGAGAAACACGCAATGAAGTCCTCTTATTTATAAACAATATCGGTGGCGTTACCCATACTTGCTTTGTGCTCATGCATAAAGCAAGTATGGGGAACGCCTTTCAGAGTATGGGTAGTGCATTTCGAAGTCTGCCTTTCATGCAATCTGGCTTTTGATGTATCCCACCTTCACGGTTTAGCAATTTTAATGGCCTGCAGTTTATCTAGAACCCTTCCCGAATGCGGGAGGTCACGTCATTACGTATGCCGCAAAATTGCGTTCTACAAAGTTAAATTCTGCGTTAAAAAATTGGGTTGGATATAATTCAGATTAAGGAATGTGTAATTTAAACAAGGCTGAATACTGTTGTAATTAAAAAGATAAAACGAAACAATATAGGAATTAATTGGAAAAATTCTTTTTGCTACTTAATAATAAGTATATGGCCAAATTGTATTTTGACAAATTAAATGGATTAACGCATATGAATTAACGCATAAATAAAAAATCGCGTTCCGCAAATCCGCGTACCACTGTCCTAAATTACATGCTCGTAATTTTATGTATAGTAATTACGTATGTGTACAATATACGTAATTAATATACGGAATATTTTACACAATTTATTTATAGTAATCGCGTATATGTACGTACAACTCACGTACTACTGTCCGGATATTAAATTTGTTGCAGATAAAAAGGGATATTTTAATTTCATGAGATAGTTTTTTTAACGAGTGAGTTGTTTCAAATATTAAATAATGTCATATATATTCAATTTCGAACTATCAATTATCGTCACATTTTTGTTAAGAAATTTTACTTTTTTAAAACTATTTTATTTTATTTTATGATGACATAAAACTTCCTTTTATGAAGATTCGTTTGGTTTTCCTGTCAATTAATGGTATCAAGATTTATTGCATCGTTTTTCAGTTATTTTAGAGTTCTCTTTCTCAGTGCATAAGAGAGTTTTAACGAGTTTCATCATTTGTTTGTAGCTCAGTCAACGTTGACTGTATTTTAATCAAACTCCTGAAACGAAGTCCAAGTAGAATTAGAATATCTGATAACTTCTTAAATAATAATGGAAACAGATTTTAAAAGATGAACGTTGTGATAAATATTCAAATGACCCGTTTTGAAATTGTGTCAGTAGTAAATGTTACTTTAAGTTCGTTATTTTCCTGAAGATTTAAGCTAAATGATTTTATGAAAGTACATTATTATTCTGCATGTTTAAAACAACTGCTGCGTTCAAAATTAAAAACTAAGGAAGCTTACATTGTGTAAAAAAATTTAATCTTAGTTTTTAAAAAAATAACTTTAGATGCATGTAAAAAGTGCAGATGGCTTCATCTTTTAGTGCAACTTAAAATGAGACAATAGTCACGGAATGTGAACTGATATCCAAACTCTTTACATTTTTGTTATAAAATTAACGAAGTATGTCTACAACGTTTCAGGACAAAGTTCATATAAAACGGTATTAAAAAATATATATTCCGACTTGGGCTTATACTTGCATTCCTTCTATCGCTACGCGTATCTTGATGTGCCCTCGGAATATCTGATAAAGTTCTTTGAAGACAATTATTGGAATGTTTTTCCTCTCTTTTAGCGTAATTTTTAATTTCTTGAATGCTCTCGTATTTCGAAAAAAAAAATGTTTCTATGAGTACTTAGCCTTTTACGTGCATTCCTTCTATCGCTTCATATATCTTGATATAGCATGGAATATCTGATAACTTCCTTTGAAGACAGTTATTGGAATGTTTTTTTATCTCTTTTTAACGTAATTTTTAGTTTCTTGAATGCTGTCGTATTTCGAAAACAATAATGTTCCTACTTAGCTGTTTACTTGCATTCCTCCTATCGCTACGTATCTCTTGGTATGCCATGGAATATCTGATAACTTTTTTAATATAATTATTGGAATGTTCTTTCATATCTTTAAGCTTATTTTTTAAATTTTTTGAATGCTGCCAAGATTTTCATAAAGATGAGATTTCACTTTAGGGAACAGGAAATATTCTGCAAGATGCCAAATCTAGCGAGTAGGGGGAGGATTAATATAAGTAGCATTTTTTCCTAATGAAATAGGAATATATGCTACTTTTATTAATCCTTGAGACAATCTCACTGTGTGAAGAGGTTACAAAAATCCATTACCTGATTGAATCTTTTCGGGACTTGATAATGCCATAAATTCTTTTGAAAACTCTAGCCCTTTGCTTCTTTTTAAAACTTGTTAATTATTTCTTGTAGTCCAAATACTTCACCAACGTGGTCGTAACTTAAAGCTTCTAAAACGTGAAGTTTCTTTGGCCAAAGTAAATTTCGGCTTACCCACAGAACTAATTTTTCGTCTGTTTGTAAGTTATATAAACAAAACAGAACCTTTCGTTATTAGTAGTTTTTTTTAAATATGAGATTATTATTTCAGTCGAATTCTTATTATCATTATGCTGTTGATTCTGTAGCATCAGATGTCGGTTGCATAAATTCAGCATAACTGCTTTTATTCAAAAATTCTCCTTATACGGTTTTTCGTAAGGAAACCAAAATTTAGCGGAAAATTTAAGCATGTTTATAATCTTTGTTGCTATACATTTGACATTCAGACTAGAAGTATCAGAAAAAAAATGTGTTCTAAAATTTTGTATATGAACTGTGTAACCTATCTATCTATCTATATATATATATATATATATATATCTAAAGAAGAATTTTTTTTGTTTGTTCGCTAATAGCTCAGTCACTACTATAGCTATCGTCACCAAATTTTCTACAATTCTTTTCTGTGCCCTGGAAAAGGTCGACATCCACTTTTCTCCAAAAAAAGTAACTAAAATAAGAGATATTAATTTAAAACTCGGAAAAACGATAATTTTCGCCCTTGTTTTTCCGAGTGGCAACAGTCTCGCAAGCTCAAGATGAAAATCTGCTTTATTTCGAAAGTTGTTGCCAGTGCTCGCTTTCAAAACCTAGAGTTTGTTGATAAAAACTTTCTAAGTTTTGCGATGAAATAAAAATAGCATTGAAACATTAAATACATTATTCCCAATTCCAAAAATTCGTGGGAAGACATTTCGACTATTCCCATCTTCGTACGACTTTAATCAACCGAAATATTAATTAAAAACTCTGAAAGCGCTAATTTTTTCACTCATTTTTCCGAGTGGCAGCAATCTCTCGCGTTAGAGATAAAAATGCGTTATTTCGAAAAGTGTTGCTACTGCTAGCTTTCAAATCGTAGAGATTGTTAATAAAAAATTCGTAAGTTTTACAAAATCTGTACATATAAAGAAGAGTGTGTGTTTGTGTGTTTGTTTGTTCGTGTTAAGAAAGTCAAGTGTTAAGAAAGCTCGGTAGAAAATAACAGAGAATATCTCTACTTTCACTAAATCTGTTTTGGTAATTTCAACGCACATTTATGCAGAATCATAAATTACGTAAAAAATATATAAAAATTATGAACCAGTGAAATACATAAAAGGACAGTAAATTTGCAAAGACTGAGACTGATGCATAAATGCGTATAAAATTATAATAAAATGGGTTACAAAGCTAATAATAATAAATACGAATTAATATAAAGTCAACCAAAACTGTTTTTAAAAAATAGCACAAATGCTTATATAAATCACAGTGCTAAAAGTTTTGTAATTAATTTTTAAACTTGAAAACAAAATAAAATGTTCCATAATTTCTTTGAAATTTGGTTAACAATACGAAATTCAATAGCTCACATGCCTCTAAGTTTGAAATCCTCTTAGAAAGTTTTGGATTACACGGATATTTTTTCCTTAAGCAGGTAATTTCCATTTAAATTCGACTTAAATCTAACAGATTTGAATGAATTCATAAATTTTGACTCTTAGTGATAATAAAGTTTGAAGGCTAATGAATTGAATAAAGTGATTCTAGTATGCTTAGATAACATGCATCGATGAATATTATGGAGGCATCGATAAACATTATTTGCCGGATAATTATAGGATATTCTTTTATATGTTTAACTTTTTTACATGTTGAACCGAGCATTAGAATTTCATCTTTGTTTATTGTACTTATTTGTATGCTTCTTCTTACTGTAGGTTTTGTAAATAATATGAGAATTTCGTTTTTGTCATAATCAGATTATTTTCATATATATATTTCTTTATTTTATTCTAATTTATTATTTATATAAATGTCGTTTACTTACAGGGCTTAATTGTTAATCTAATATGGAGAAGTTGTTATCATCAGTAATAATTCTGTGCATGTTCTTAAGTGCATATGCTGCTGAATCCTCTGAAACTGGAAAGTATGTTTTTAAAAAATATCATTTACTTCATGTAATTTCCTAATCACTTAATAGAAATCATACATTAAATACTTTATCTGAACTTTTACGCTTATAAATAATCCATTAAATAGCATTGCTTTTGGATAATAAATTTTTCTGTTCAAAATAAGTCATTACAAAAAGTAGAGTAGAGTGATGTACAGCGGTTGGACAAAAATATGGAAACACCTCGTAATATGCACGTTTGAACTGAAATGTTTATTCTACAAAAGTTGTTGGTGGCGCTGATGTGTTTGCTCACCAACGCCTCCTGTACGCAAGTGGCATTCACTATCGAGGGCAGTGTTCTGTGCAGTTGTGAGTGCATCATGTCAGAGCTAAATGCATTCGGAAGTAAGCAAATTGCTGGGCCTCGTATCGCTTTCGTAACAAGGTAGCTGAAGTGTTAGGTGTTTCGAAAGGTACAGTATCTAAGATTTTTAACTACACAAAATCCGCATCCGCTAAATCACAGCGCGGACAAAAATGTGTGTTGAGGGATCATGACAGACGATCATTGAAGAGGATTGTGATGAAAGGTAAGAGGACTGCATCGTAAACTGACTGCTGAGCTCAACGTCGCACTCGCAAACCCTATCAGCACCCACTCATCAGTCATCAAAATGCCTGTACAAGGAGAAAGTGGTGCCAAAGTCATAAAACTGGACTGTAGAGCAATGGAAGACTGTCATTTTGTCATGTGAGTCTTTCTTCACACCTTTTCCTACTGCTGGATGAGTTTACGTATGGCGAACGCCGTCCCAATCGTATGATAGAGAAAGTTTGCTGCCGAGAGTGAAACATGGCGGTGGTTCGGTCATGGTTTGGTATTCGTGGTATATATCATGGTATTCCATGGGACCCATCAAGGTCACAACTGTGCAAAGTCACATTACTACCAAGGATTATGTGACAATTTTGGCTGATCAAGTTCATCCCATGGTGCAAATTTTGTTCCCCAGTGCTGATGCCGTATTTTAAGACGACAGAGCTCCTGTTCACTCAGTTCATATTGCCCAGGACTGTTTTTGGACATAAGAGTGAACTTTCACATTGCCCATGGTCACCACAGTCACCGAATATCAATAATATTGAGCCTTTATGGGCTAATTTTGAGAGAAATCTGCGTGAACGCTACCCATTGCTATCATTGTTAACTGAGATTGACAATGTTTTATAGAAAGAGTGGAGCTCGATTCCCTTACAAAGCATACTAGATATCTGTTTATCCATTCCGAAAAGCTGTTTTGAATACCAATGGTTTTCTACACCGTATTAGTCACATCAATATGCTTTTATTTCGGTGTTTCTATATTTTTGTCCGGCCCCTGTAAATCTGATGAAGTGACTGAAATCGATAAAAATTCATTTTTAATAGAAGTCCTTAGAATACGCTAAAAGAAAATATAATATTTAGTTATTATTTTGTCGACCACAAAACTATCAGAAGCATCACGATTTAGCGTAAATTATAGATAATTGTGACATCCCAACAAACTCATAATATCTGCGCTCTTGTCTGATATAACTCCGGTTAATTCTGAATTAGCTATTATTTTTATAAACAAGGATAAAAATTAAGTGTTATTTGTGAATGTTTCCCTTTCATTTTGATAAAAATAAGCTAGAGGTCTTCGGAAACACATTTGTGACTGCACTTCGGTTTGTTTACTTATAGTTTGCCGAGAGAATTAACTTCTGCTGAGGAAGAGGACAGCTAGATATGGCGATCAAAACCGTAATAGTTTAAAATAATCATCTGCAAGAAGACTGCAGAAGCTCTAGAGCTTCCGGTACAATCGAAGAGCCTAACAAAACAGTCAAAATAGTATAAATCAACGAAAGCCTTTTTACGAAGCGCAGAGAGATGTAGATTTATGTAGATTTTTCTCAGCAGTTTCTACTTGGGGGACTGAACAAAGTGACTGAAGGATGTCTTGTTCTAAGTGTTGCAAACAGACATGCAATTCAGAATTCCGCAGAAACAATTGGCGCAGCTTTTTGGCAGGATAACCACCAGCTTTCATGATTCCACCAGCTTCTCGAATGTTGATAACAATCAAGACCTTCTTAGGACTAATTCCGAACTCATTAGAAAGCTCATTTTCTTAGAATAATAGCTAACTTAGTGTTAAAAAAATTTGTGGCATTTGCTAATGGATCACTATTCATGAATTTCAAGTTAATCCCAAATAAAGTTTCATTCATCCTGATAGAGGATGTCAAATACAAAAATGGGGAAATACATATCAGAGCAATACTGGCCGCAATCATCTGAATTCTTCATCGAATTCATACCGTGGCGATTGCAAGAAAAGGAACAAATGTTTTCAGCAGTGTTAAGTGAAAGCGGCAGTTGTATGCCTCCTGTGTAATTTGAAGGTAATCTGGTAAAAACAATTTGGTATTTTTATATTTATCTTTCTCGTTTATATTTATTGTGTATTTAATAAAATATAAATGTTTTAGTAAAATTTTTGTTATCGTTAGAGTTCTGCTATCTAACTAGATTTTGTGCCAATGTTTACGTTTCGCGCTAGGTGGTACCTGTTAATAGAAAAATACCTCATTTTTACCTAACCTAAAGCTTTGATTGTTAGACTAAAATATGTAAATCACCTTTTAGATAAATTCCATAATAAATTTACTGAACTCGGCAAGTAAATTTTATTTATCCCATCAAGAATGATTACTGTTTGAAAATATGAATAAGAACTCAGCTGTACTATTTTGTGACTTAGTTCCTAACTGAAAATTACAAACGTTATTCATTGCAAGTGGATTAATTTAATCTTTTATTCCTTTTAAAATAGTGGCTACATATTTACTTGCCCAAAGTCCATTAAAACTGGAACCACAAATGAGATGCAGTTACGCCGTTATGGGGCACTTGATGCAGGCAACCTCAATCTGAAACTGATATATCCTGATTCATACAATTCGAATTTCACAGTTTTTGTTGAAAAGGACTATGAGATAAAAGAAGGTACGTATATAGGTTTCCTCTTGAAATACGCATAAATTATTTTATTTGAAAACATATACGAATTTTGAGTGTGCTAGAAAAATTCCTCTGTGCGAAATCTGATGAGTGAAATTTCTGTGAAATTTCCTAATCTTTTGTGATATAATTTAGGCACCGGAACGCTTATTAAAATTTAAACTTTTGACGTTAGAATTATATTTAGCCCAATTCTGCTAAATATTTTGGAATGCTGTGTGTTCTTTTACATTACAATATCATGCATTTTTCTCCACGTGACTTCGTAGATATTGTCATTACATGAAAGATAAACTTTTCCTCGTGGCTTCGCGAAGAGCCGTTTCTAAGAGTATTACCATTCACTAGTACAAATATCTTTAGCTTTTTCTTTAAATTTTAATCATTTAATCTTTAGTGGTTTAAAAGCTATGAGTGTTCTTATTTATTAATAAATGTGCCTATAGATTTTAATTTAAATTTTATTTTTACTTCCTTGTACGAAGTAAAAAGGAAGTATTGTAATTGCGTAAAATTTCGAATATCATATTTCAACGAAAATATCCATTTTGAACGCTATCAAATGCAATTTAACAATGTTTTTGCGTGACATCTGTACATAAGGTATAGCAAATAACATAGTTTGTTTCTTTCTTCCATGTCTTCAGCAATGATTTCTAAAGATCACAGTCATAATGTCCATAATGTTATTTATCATTTACCATAATGTCATTTGCCGTTATATCCCGTTAGTGAATAAAGCAGGACATTTTCTCCTCACTCTCATAGCGAACCAAACTTTCTAGCTAGTGTATACAAAAAATGTTTAAGAAAGTAGATTTTTAAATTTTAAAGTCTAGCAAAATTGTTCTTTTAGTAAATGCACGACGAATCGGTAACAAGCATAGAGAACAATTGGAATATATGCTTTAATTTAGATTACATCCTGCATAATATTAATACATTAATAAACGTTCTGAGGTTTATAAAACAAAGGAAGCAGATTATTTCTGCTATAGGATGTCATACATATTTCTAACTGGCCGTTGTTAAATTAAATGTACTGTTCTTAACGTTTTATAACAAAGCAAGTATTACCAAATAATTTTTAAAGTTCGCTCTATTTAATTTTTTTTGAAAAAAGAAACCTAGGTATATTAATTGTATTTATTAATCTAAACTGACGATAAAAATATATTTTCTCATTGAAAGTATCAAAATTTCTAGAGGAAATGCTTAGTGCATATAGTCCGAGTGAGGAAAAGATTTAAGGAGATATATCCTAAGAACGTAAAATGCATGAAAACGTTGATAAAATTTCAGTAAATCGAGCTTTAGAAGGCTCGCTGGAGCGCTTTGGTAAATTTGTCTCCAGTTTGGAAGCTATTTGTTCTTTTTATTTACATGTTTGTCGCATGTTATGTGTTCAGCCAAAACACAAGTCTTGCATGCCATAATCATTCTTAACGTTAGTCTCTCTTTCCTCAGAATTAAAGTCTCGTCTGGTTCTGCTTTAAATTCGGTTAAAACGCGTTTATGAATGACCTAAAATGGCCACCTGTTTTCATAAATTTATTGCTAGGTATTAAATTCTTTACCATCAAGAGGATGGAATAAATTTCTGTTGTTTAGTTTTCCATTAAAACATTTCAGTAAGCAACTTACTACTAAATTATTTTAAAATTCAAATTGAGGTAACTGAACTCAAACTGAGATCATTATGGAAACTATTCCTATTAGTAGCACCGAATCTAAATTATATTTTGGCTCAGTGGTTCTTTTGGCATATTTCTATAGCAAGACCTTTTTTCAGTATATAACATATTTCAGATTTAATTGCAATCTTCTTAAAATGGGAAACCTTATCCCAATATTTAGGAAATAAGGAAATAGATTTTTTGAAAAATCATCGCTTACTTTAGAATCTGCTAGAAGGTCAACTAACGTGAAACAGAAGCCTGGAACCTTCTGGCCTAAATGATTGTTGAGTTAAATTTACCCGTTATTTTGTTTAATTTCTATGATATTTAATGATTTTTAAAAAAACTTTTCAAGCTTTCTTATTTAAAAAATATTTTGTCGTTCAGAATTAATTTATATTTTTTTTCGTTTTCGTAATCACTTTTCTCGGAACGCTAAAAGAGTAGGTAGGTAAATGACATTTCCCATTCAAATGATATTTAATTTCAATAACCAGCATTATGGTGGAAGGAATTAATGTATATCCCCTAGCGTGCTGTTATGGTGTAAGTGATTAATATGCTATATAAGTGTACCACTAATTCGCAGATTCGTGGTTCGAATCTCGTCGGGGGAAAATTTAGATTACATATATCTCTCTGAAAAATATTTAATAGTCTGTGCATGGTAGAGGAGTTGATCAATTTTGTCCTAATTCTATGGAAGTATTAACTTAATGATTGTTCAATGAAGAGTTCTTTTATTTTCTTTGTGGTTATAATTTTATCTTTGAGCTGTCTTTTACATTAAATATAGGATGTGATAATTAATAAAACTGCTGTACTATTTGTTTCTTTATAGGAGAAGAATATTCTACACTTGAACTCTTTGTTCCGTTATCTGAAACTCCCATATATGACGCTCGAGTTGTCCTCAATGGGACTTTAGGAGATTCCTATACTATAGTTGGCAGTGACACGGTGTACTTTGATACTGCAAAAGATAACATAATTATCATTCAGACTGATAAACCAATATACAAAGAAGGCCAGACTGGTAATTAGAACATTATGATACAATAATCTAAAAGTTTTATATGAAATTGAATTGTATTATGATTACACTGCTGCTCCTTTAAAATGTTACATTTCTAAAATAACATTTTGTATTAAAATTGTAGAAAACACATTTACATGAATGTAATTATTTTGTGATTATTTATATATTTAAATTAAAGCGTTCGAATAATTTAACGAAGGAAAAATTCTCTTGTCTCCATATTGATAAATAAAATTAATGCAAAATAAGAGTGTAAATTAATGGTATAGCTTGCAAAATAATATTACTTTATGTTTCAATATAAAGTAGTATTATTAATTTATTACATATTAATTGTATTTTTATTATATTTTAATTCATGTTTTCAACAATGATTTCAACAATTTTGATCTACACTACTACGATTCATGTGCGTGTGTGTGTTTTTTTTTCCAGTTTTGTGAATAAGCAATATTTAAATATCTGTGAAAATTGCATTTCTAAACTATTTTTATTTTGAAGTTGAAAATTATTTGTAATAAATCAAAAGAGGAGAGAAAGACTTCAAAGTGAAACATAAAATTATGCAAAGGTAAGTTTAAAGATGCTTTATTAAAAATAAGTAAAATTAGGCAGAGGTAATTTCTTCAGGAGAAAAAAACATTAGCAGAATTTTTTTGCTCCGGATGAAGAGGAATCTGTACCTGCTGGCACTCGAAATCGATAGAGTTTCAATTAAAATCTACACCAAACACAAGGCTGCTGATTGCCTAATTATACGTTATGTGTAGTAGTTATTAAAAACTAAAATGTGAAAAGAAAAAGGGAAAATACCTTTTCCCTGCTTTGTCACGATAAAGCAGAGCATAAAGCTTTATTTCGCAAAAGACGCTTCCCTTCATTTTTCTAATTTATTATGAAAAACTGTCATTAAAATTAAGGCAGAATTTAGAAATTTGTCATTTGCAGATTTCTTTGTGTCAGGAAGACAGGAAATTGGTTAAAAAGGGCATCATTAAACCCAAAAAAGGTTTATGATAAAAATTCAGTTTTGTGAAATTAAATCATAACACGAACGAAACAGTGACCAAAAATAATTTTTTCTGAGTTTAAAGTTAAAAAATATTTTAAATACTACTTTACATTTAACAATATATTTCAAAATAAAATTATTGAGATAATTTTGTAATTTAATTGTTAAAATATTATTTTAAACTTTTAATATTTATGTCATGCATATCTTAAATAATTTTATTTTATTTACCTGCGTAAAGCTATTTTTAAAGAAAATAACATTAGAGGCAAAATATTTGTGATTTATTTAATCATATTATTATCTCTTCGCCTATAATTAATTTTTGAATGACAGCTTTTTTGAAGTCAAATTACTGCTTTTTCAAATCGGTAGTTTTAGAAATGAAATATTCACGAGTCATATTTCACGCTATATTATTTAATAATTTTTTAACTTAAGTCTTTTTTTGCTTTTCAATTTCTATACAATATTTAATACTTAATGGTCTTAATATTGATTCTGTGCGTAATTTAATTTTATTTTCAGTGAAATTTCGTGTTCTGAAAGTAGACAGAAATCTGAAACCATCAGGAAAAGATGTAAGTTTTTTAATCTGCCTTTTAAGATGGAGTTTTGTTTATTAGTTTCAATAAGACTTCTTTCTGTTGAATTACTCTACTACAACTTTAAAATTTTACTCATTTCAAAAGTTTCTTTACCTAGTACAGCAAACTATTTCATTTAGGAAGCTAATATATGGGTTGAAGACCCGAAAGGTACAAGGCTATTCCAGTGGAAAAAAGTGCCTTTGGGAAGTGGTGAGTATTTTTTCCTCTGCCGTGCAGTACATGCTTAAATAAATGTTAATTTAAATTATTATGTAATGATTTAGGAAATTTTTCTTTTAACATAAATTATTAAGCTCAAGAAAAGCTGTGATTGTTTTCATTTGTCTAACAGCAACATCGGAACAAGTCCACGAAGTTTGTCATGGTACTATATCTTATTGGTGGCTGTATAGCTTTTTCAAATTTTGCAGGAGAATTCTCTGTGGAAAGAGGGGATCTCCCACCCTTCTTTTCTGGCTACCAAATCATTCGCAAGAACTTTCAGATCGCAATGTATTTTAAGTGTCCTTATTCCTTAAAGACATTATATACTCACAACGTCCCAGAATTGCCCGGGATTCGAACACGGGCCCGTCAGTACGCTAATCATTATATCAGTTGACTGGGCTTACGAAATGTCAAATTCGTTTATACAGGGTGGAGCGTTTTCCATTACTCATTTTGAAAATAATATGATTGGACTTAGAGATAATGCAAATCCAAATATTTTATCTTTTTGGGTACACTTTTCGATTTTCATATATGCCATGTAGACTTTATTTCTCAGCTTTATTTGTATTGGGTAGACTTATTTGCGAAACACTATGTCTGGCAATTGGATATTTTAGATATGGAGACGGAAAACTTATCAGTAACACTAGAGCCTTAGCCAATGCAACAGCATGTGTTCTTTGTATAAACATTTGTTAAAATGAAGTCGGTAGCAAAAGTGCAACGCGCAGTTAGAAAGGAGTTTTGCAACGAACAACCGGCAGACAGCCAATCAATGCATTCGGGAAAAAGCGGCATGCTTGTGGAAGTTTATAGAACAAACAATACCCACGAAAGGAACAAAAATTGTGAGAATACCGAGGAATATTCAAATATTGGTTTGGTTATTTGAATATGACTATGCACACGAAAGCTCTCTTCCTAAACCAAAGGTTGCCTTCATAGAGGATTTTCCAAGGGAAAATTGGCTGGTTTTCACGTTACGCATGGGAAAAATCATGAAAAGTAACCCGTTTTCCTGATTCGAACCCGAATCGAACTGCCAGCATCCAGCGTCTTTAACCTCTGGGCAACTAGTTTGAACATTCAAAGAAAAATAATGTGTTTACAAACAGATTTGTAAGTGTAGAAGAACTGAAGGAACGAATCAGGGAGACCTGAATGTCCTTGACAGAAGTGTCTTCATTTTTTTATGTCATATGTTGCTAATTTAGGTGATCATTTATCAGATATAGTGTTTCTCAGTTAACTTTACCGAATGCAAATTAAAATCTAAGTGGCATGTATGCAATTAGACTAGTGTAGCAAAAAATGATGAAATAAAATAGTTTATGTTGTCTCTAGAGCCGAGTACGTTATTTTCAAAGTGGGCAATCAATAATGTTCCACCCTGCACTTACAAGCAAAACTGCCATTTAAGGCAATTTGCTTGTCCAGGATCGAACCTCGGACATGTGGTGTTGCTGCATGTCGTGCTAGCTATTGCGGTACGGGACCTCAACTGTTTCTTACGTTACAGGGAAATATCGCATTAGCAACTGCATGCTATATAAGTGTAAGCATTAATTCAGAAGTCAAACAACAAACTGTTTTTGTTGTTTGACTTCTGAATTAGTATTTATTCGGCGTGTTGTTGTGTCTTAAGTGTAAGCATGTCTAACTAGGAACTGGAAAAACAGTGTTTCGAGTCTTGGATTGAGTATAATTGATTTTTATCATCAAAAAACTTAAAAGTTGTCTAAAGTGACCCCCTCAGTAAAATTATGCTGTACGAAAATTTGTCAGTACCTGAATTTGGTCAATTGAAACTCTTCTCAGTCATCTTTTAAGTGCGGAAAGAATATAAGGAATTATCGTTTCCCCCTGTTTTGATTTTTCATGTTTTCTACATCGAAAATTTTAATAGTTAGTACAACATTTAACTGATTCATATAATTTCTTTTCAGTACAAAGACCTTTTTTTTATAATTTCTGAAGAGCTTACAAGTAATGATGGATATCAAGAGTAAAGTTCTATATACAAGTAAAATACATACTAATGACATTTCACTATATAACTGCCTTCTGATTTAACATGTATCATAACACTTAACTATTTGTTGCATGTCTTTATTATAGAAGTTACCCCATGATTACTGAATTTACATATAATACAGTTTGAGGGCGGCCCAGAGAGGAAAGTGATTAGCAACGCTGACTGCTGCACCGAAGATCCGAGTTCACATCTCCGAGAAGACATGGATGTTTCTAAATGTATAGTGTTCGCAGGATGGGGCAACACGAAGTAAGCGACGAGCCGAAAGTCCTCTCGAGAGGTTTGTGATAGGGGAAGAGGAGTGGAAGACTCTGGGATGCGCAACCCTGGGGTGTTTTCCTTCAAAACTGCGGCAGAATTGATCGTAAAGCCGGAATGTCACCTGAATGGTGCTCAATGCTCTGGCCAACGACAGACACAATCCTGTCCCCCTTGCCATAATAATAATTCGTCGACGTGTTCAGATTACACCAGACAACTGAGATTAGTGACAACAACAACTGCAATAATTTGAGAGAAATCATTAGTCATTGTAGACTTTCTTTCTCGTTCTTTCTCATCATAGAATCATTCTTTTTAATTTCTTTATTTTCTGATATATACAATAATTCATACTTTTATGCTCAGTCGAACATTTTAAAATTATTTATAGTAAAAGTTGCGAAAACAAAAACAGTTTACTGTTAGAGTTATAATCCACGATTTATGTTAAAAATTAGTTTTTCATGCGATGAATTTTTCATTTATGTACTGAAGTTTTCTTTCAGGTATCAAACAATTAGAATTTCCGTTAGCTGATGAACCTGTTGAAGGAAATTGGAAAATAAAAGCTTCTATCAATGATGAAGTCGAAACGGCCATCTTTGAGGTGAAAGAATATGGTCAGTATTAAGGTTTTCAATATGTATGTCAAACAGATATAGTTCCAATGGTTTTTCCTCGCAAAGATGTCACTATGTTTGCTGAGAGGCTTTGTAAACGTCATTATCAATACTGGAAATTTTTTTTCAAGCTGCTAATTATTAAATTTTAGGAATGAAGCATTAATGATTCTACACCATTCATAAGCCGATTATTACGGTGAAATAATTATCTTTCTCTCTTTAATTTATTATTAATATTGACGGAGAAATATTTTATTTTATTGATTATTGCGCTTTATTATTTATAAAAGGAAAATGAAACAATTAAAAGAGAAAAAAGACTCCAAGGCTCTAAGAATATCAGTATGTTGACTATTAGAAGATTCTCACATCACTTATTCACACTTACAGGACTTTGATTTCAAATTCTTACAATATAACTATGCTTAAATGTTTCTCTTATGATGTCTATGTTACATTTAAAAGAATTGAAATAAAGTGGATAACACAATAACGCTTTCATGAATGAAAAGTTTTTTTTTTCCTATGTAAAAACAGGTTTATATAGCATAAATTAAAAATATAGAGATAAAAGAATTTTTATTTAATGCAATGAAAATTCTTTCATCATTCTTGAACTTGTTTCTTCTGTATTTATTGCGTTATCCAATTGGGTAACTAAATTCAGTAATGGATAACCAATACTATTTCAGCTGAACTATTAAAGCTTATATGCGTCCCTCTCTATCTGAAATATAATTGCAAGAAGTATGAACCTTTGGTCTATTTTTTATATTAATATTTGTCTGTAGTTATTTACTGTTCTCGAGTTATTAGTATTTACGTCTAGAACAATAATTTCTTTATTCCTATCTCCGGTCTTCCTACTATAGGAAAATAATAAAAAATTATTGTAAATTTTCTTATCATTTCCCTCCTTTTTTAAATGATTATATTTATATCTCTGCTTGACTGACAAACTAGGAAATTTAATGATTTTACGAAAAAGTATTTATGATATAATATTTAAAAATTAGTGATACAAAATGTGCGTAAGAGATTTTGAAGATTTTGTTTCTTTTCAGTGCTGCCTAAATATGAAGTTGACATTTCCTTTCCTTCTTTCGTCCTTGCAAACGCCGAACTTATACCATTGAAGATATGTGCAAAGTAATCATGACTTTTGTTTATTCCTCTTATTGCCTTTTCATTTACTGTTATTAATTTATGCATTTTTCTGTCTGGCATTTGCAGTTACTTGCTAACGTAAAAGAAAATAATATTTTTCAAAGACCTTTTTATCTCTTTTGGATGTTTTCTTGAAGCTACTCTAAAATTTCATTGCAGACTTCAAGATTAGAAATTTGGACTTGCTTATATGATGAAACGTTTGTTAAATTTTGTAATGGGCACATCTGTGAAATTTTAGTATGTATATTTTATCGTCTCGGTAACGAAAAATTATTAATCAGATATAATAAGATTCCCTTTTGTACATGGCAACGGCCAAAGTCCAGAGTGAGTTTCTTAAAACGACCTGAGCGCAATAGCCTCTGAACGTTCTCGGTTGGGAAAAAAAAGTTACAGTAAATTTTTTAGTCTTGCACATTTTAGATTTCCACTTTTCGTTAATTTAAAGAATTTAAATAATGACTGAGTTTAGCATAGCTGAATTGAATATTAATAGCTTATTTAACAAAAGCAAAATAGTATAAAGATTTTTCTGAGCGTTAATCGCAAGAAAGCCTGATATATTGACTTTATTGGTTCTGGCTTTGCACAATTCGTGAAGCAATGGAACCTTGAATATCCGAGAGCTTTTGCAACTAATGTTAGACCCAGTCATAGTCTTTAGGTATCCTGATAAAAGATCATTCTGTCATCAAGAAACTGAAATTAATAAATATTTGTCTCATTTGAACTTGTTAATTTTATTAAAAATATTCTTCTACCACTGTTCCTTGAAACGTTAGTGCAGCAAATTTCGAAGTGATATTGCAACAATACGACCAGGTCAAAAAGGATCTGCTTACAATTGTACTGTAGAGTATTATCGCTCTTATATTACGAGATGCTGCAATATGGAGTAATATTACTTTTCATTAATTTAGATTTATTTATATACATATGCTAATTATTTCTCTCTGAATGGCTATCACAATATTTCTAAGTGTTAAAATTAGTATTTTCTGTAGATACGATATCTGAGAATTGCGTTTTTAAACCAATTTGATAATAATTTATGGCTGCATATCATGTTTCAACGATCTGATCGTAGACATTCTTTAACGGACCCTCATTTTGCCATGCATATGGTAATGTATCTGTTTTCATTGAGGGTTCAATACAGAACAAACAATGCGTTTTTATTATTCATAAAGGTTTTTCATTCGCATGGAGTTTGAAGATACGCTTTCTTTCAAATACGATTTTAAAAGTGTCTGATTTATTATGAGTATAATGTTTTATATAAATTAGTATCTATTACATTATGTTTTAATATAGCATTATATTATGAGTAATGATATTATTTAATCGAATTCTCATTCTTAAGATGTCATCGTTCATCATGAATAATATTTTTATAGTCTTATAGAATGATAGTTAATGTCTTCTACTAATAATTATGAAAACAATATCTCAAAAGTATTCATTTCACATCATGAATAAAGATGATTTTTTTAATTCACAAAATTTTAATTTACTTTCCTGTAAGCGTATCTAGCTAGTTCTTTTCCCTCTTCCCTTTTTTCTTAAATACAGCTTCGTGATCTGGTACCTTTTTCATTGGTATTTAAAATTAGTGTAATTAAAGTTGAAAACAAACGTTATTTTCCATTGTAAAATCAAGTGTATATTATCTTTCTAAAGTATATTATCCTTTAGAAGTTCCAATTGGAAGGACTTTCATTTTCTGTTTTCTTCAGTCTTCCTCTGGTATTAGTTGCTGCTAGAGATTAATGATTCTTGAATAGGAAATTCGATAGCAATGACCTAAGGGTTGAGATTCCAATATTTATAGCGACTAAATACTGTAAGCACTTGACACCTGTTTAACTGGTATTTCCCAAGTTGCATCTGCAGCCTGAAAGTGCATGCACGTGAACTTAATAATAGGTGGATGACCTATTATGCAGATATTGAGGTTAAAATAGCATTATATAATGAACCGGAACACGTATTCATCTTCGAGTTCTGAAAAGAAACATGTTTAATTTCATGTCAAAGAAAGAACAAGTCTGACAAGATTTGAATGTATAATCTCGTCTTTCTTAATTTGATTTCTATGGACTCTTAATCATAATTCAAGACGGCATTTGCTTTAATGATAACTTTCAATGAAATCGATGCTGACATTTTTACGCATGCACAAAAAAACGTTTTGCAACGTAACATATTATTTAAAAAGAAAAAAAAGAGCTAGAATGATACGTTATTAAACCCATGGGAAGAACGTTTCTGCGTTCAGCAATATTTTATTTATTTATTTTTATCTTTTTGTGTCTTTTTAATTAATGTTTATTTTAATAAAGCTTAGCAAAACTTTTATTTAGAAAAATATGTTATAAATTATCTTTATTAATGTATATAAACTCGTGCAGTACTAGTCAATGGTGTAATGCATAAAAGAAAATCTATGAAAAATGAAAATAATTAATAATAGTTGTAATATCTGTATCATCCATCCATCATTGTATTTAAATACATTGAATAACATTGTATCGCAAAATCATTGCATTTCTACATTGGCAAATTTAAAAAGTGATAAAATGAATAAGAAAATAATTAATATAATTAGGGAAGTATACATTTCAAACGTGAATAATCATTGCTTACTTTCTCTTTTTCCTATTGAGCAGTTGTTTAAGTATGTCTGCATTTCCCCATAAAGTTATCGAAATGCATAATTCAAAATTGTGAGAATGAAATACTTTGCGATATAAGGTTTTTCTACGGTGATGACATTTTGTAATCATTTTAAAGTTTAACGTTTACCAATATGTTGTTCTGCCAATAATTGTTGCTTTTAAACGTTGCCTTGTTCAGTAGTGCTGCGTTCGTAACTGCATGCAATGAAAATGAGTTATATATTGGTAGGCAGCTCGGCTATTTGTGTTCAGTGATTTATTACCTAATCCATTAGTGAAGTCGTACCACAATTTGTCAACAGTCATGTCTTCGTTCGTGCAGTTTACATTTTTATTGTGATTTATATCTACCTGCTTGTGTCTTTGTGCCATATATTGAAATAGATTTTAGACCTACTTCTATTGAGACGATTTTCTTAAATTTGCGCACATTCAGAAGAACTGTTATTCTCGAAACACGACTCTGTGTTGTTTCACTTTTCATTCGAGTTCGTTGCCGTTCGAAAACACAGTAATGTCTTATTCTTTGATATTTAATTTGTGTGTTATTAATTAACAAACTAAACTATTTAAAAGCAACAGACGCAGGACTTAAGAATGCTGCTTTTTTTAATTTTAATCTTATTGATTTAAATAAAAATGCATTTAATTCATGCTACATCTAATTATAAACATTAAATATTTTTATAAACTTACATTAAAACTTTTTTCACTTTTTTAATATGCAAAGATATATAACATTCCCATGTTAGTCTAAATGCATATTCATCTAATATCCTATGAAATATTTCACTATTCCACCTAGGCCGTCTCTGTCGATAATGTCTCTTGATAAACTGTATTAAATTCTAAAAGAGTCTTTTTGGGCGATCGTAAAGTTCTGAACCCTTTCAGACTTTTTTTTCTGTCGTAAAGCTTATTTTTTCCCTAATTTGCTTAGTCAAAAGAACAATTATTCCATCTAATTTAGTGTTAAAGTTTTTTCACACATCCTTGCTTTTAAGGATCAAATTAATCAGTGCAAAATTTTTATCTCTGCGCCAATGGATATATTGAAAATTAATCTACCAAATGAAGTTCCTGAGAATTGCCGAAGTTTAAAAAGTATTAAATGTTATATCATTAGATATAATAGCTTAGAAAAACTAGCAACTACTGTGATATGAGTAACATGATGAGTTTCTGGCTTTGTTTTCGCACCTGTTTTAGACAAAGAATAGATGTGTTTTCTTTCAAACGCCATTTAAAATTTTTGGAAAATTTCATTCCTAGGCTCTCCACAGAAATGGAACGAGGCGGGAGGAGAGAGACATAAATTAAATGGTTGAATTATAAATTTAATTATTATGAAATGAATTCATCACGATGCAATCAACTTCTTTCCAATATTTAAATTAATGCATTATGTAGGAAATTAACGTATATTTTACATTTATAAATATTTTTTTAGCATTTTATTATAATAGTAAAATATAAGTGGTATAAAATATTGTTATTTTAAATATTATTACTTCTTTTAAGAGCTACTTAAAGTAGTTAATTTATCTAGAATTCATAATATTTGGGGCATCACATAAAAAGAATTTAAAGGATTCGAATGTTTTATAAGCTAAATAAAGTTAAAATGATAGTAATCGTAGAATATCTGAGGTTCTATTTCTAACCTTAAAATTTTTCTAACGAATATAATGAATGCACTTCGATTTTTAGAATATATTTTAAAAGACAGTTTTAAATACTTTCAGTAAAAAGCAGTATTTAATAAATACACATATTAAATATAATAATAAATGAGGTCAATATCGATTTCTCGACATTTAAATCATTTTCTATATTTTCTGCGTGACATTAGAATTTTACTTTATATACACATGCGATATTTTTGCATCACAGGAAACTGCATCTAGTATGATTCTACTTTTTGTTTACTCAGCTGAAGAGGGGAGGAAGGTAGTATCTGCTGTGTTTCTTAGTTTTCTTTGGATAAATAGCGAAATTGATCTTCTGGGTGATTGATCTTCGTCATGGCGAGTGATTTATTACATATTATCGCAACTGACTGTAATCCGCTTATAGTTAATATATATTGAGTGTTTCTTTTTTTTTTTTTTTTTTTTTTTTTTCGATTTTGCTATCGCAGTTTAAAATGGTTTATTTTACTATTTCTGTATTATGTAATTAAAAAACTTCTATCAAATTGTATTTTTTATAATTATTAAAGTAACAATTGATTGATTTAGGGTACCTGTAAAGATGCAGAAGTTGTGATGTTGGAATAACGCTAAACTTTCACGGAAGCAT